ACGTGATCTAAGGAAAAGACGTACGGCATGTCATAATATACCGTGGTCTTTTCCCGCCTAACGTGAATTCCACCTACCAGCCGCTCGATGCAATTACGCAACAAAATCATGATTCAAATATGTGCACGTACACATATGTTAATAAATATCATCCGATCGTTGAACACTTGCTACAAGAACTTCATTTGTGACGGCAATGGATCTCTTTGAAACAAATGTGGAACGTATTACTTAATGTCCTAGAAGCCATTGAGTTTGCAGCTGAGAGCTGGAACAGTAGTGGTGGAGTATTCATTCGAAGTTTGTGGATCAAGAGTGACATCATCGAGGCGCCACAGATTGCGAATTAGCGTGCACATGTGATTATTAAAAGTCCATCTTCGCCTTCCAACAGGACTGCTGCGGCCTGGCTGATATGATTGAATTTCTAGGAGTAACTTTTGGCGTGTTAGATTATGAATGTGACCGAGGACCACGAGCAAATTTGCGAAGATCAAGAGGCTCTAATTTAAGCAGAAGCGGAGCCCGCGGAAGTCGAAAGCGACGAAGATCAAGCGCCTGTCAGTACAAAAGAAGCACTAAAGTGCTGCCTGCTTTTGCGCTTGTACTTTGTACGCTCATATAGAGACACGCGTATCGTTCAGTTAGATGGTAAGATACCATCAGGCATCCGTAAGAACCGGCACGCTAGAGCGAAACAGCTCGACACGAGAGACTTCATGTAGTAAACAAACGCTGCAAATCGTTACATACAGGGACATGTACTGTAGAGTTACTTAAATGCCCCGATATTCAATTCTTTATTTCCTAGAAGACCATGCAACTAATTTCTTTCATATTCTCGATACGAGACTTTTAATAACGCTGGAAAAACTGGGCACAAAGTTGTCTCTTATAGAGAGTGGCGAGTGTAGTACGCATAAGGTATACCTTAACCGCATTATTTACAGGCAGACACACAAATAAGTGCGACTTAAAGGCTCGGTATTCAGCATGTGCACATTCACTAATAGCTTCACCTTTCGGGCTTGCAACCACTATATTCTTCCTCTTTATTCGAACAATGAGTGTCGGGACTGCTGAATTTTCCAAATACGCACATAATAGGTATAGCAAAAGAATCGTTTTTAGAAGTAACTGGAAGATGGCCGTATATAGTTAAGAGGCGCTCTGACTGAATAAGTCATTCAGGTTCCAGCTCAGCAGATACATGCTCCCGCCCAGTCGGAGATCCATTCCAAGGTTTTTAGGTGGGTTTACAAGAGAGTGATAGTTCGGCAGCGTACCCATTGCATGGTTTCATCTCAATTGACCTGCCTGATTTCTCGATATTGCACTCTTCCGCCCACAAATAGGACGCACACCTATCGAATTACCACGCGATCAGCGTGTGCGTAATTACCCGCACACAACTTTATCTTTACAACATCGTTTGGCAGGCAGTCAAAAGTGGTCCAAATCGTGTTTGTTGCCAGCGCTACCAACGGCAAGTTGCCGAAGCGAAATATAATTACGTAGGGACGGAAAACTCACTCAGTCAGACGCTTCTTCTTAGGCACTTCTCTACGGTACCAAATCTGTTGTATGACTGAAACGGTAATCAAGCGATCTTGATAGCATGTTCAAAAATATCCGGTGTTGAACGCAGCCACATTTTTTTCTTTTTCGGCCGGTTTTCAACATTCCCGACTGTACAAAGGAGGATTTGAAAGCTAGTGTAGAATCGTAGGAGGGAGAATCGTTTTCGCCCCTGACCCAAACTCCGGCCGACCAAGAGAAAATTGGACGACGATATTATACAAATCTCAGTTTTATCCATCATAAAGTTAACTCACACTTTATGTAGACGCAGATTTGGTAGATCAACACCTTATCATGTGTAGCAAGATAGCATGTCCTCAGGGATCAGATTAGCCAGGTTTATCTGTACACGCAAGTCCGCTGGATCATGAACAGTCACACTAGCCGTTTAAAGCGAAGCTATGCTCAACGTAAACACTGTGCTTTGTATTTTGTTGCCTCGAACTCAAGTCGCAGATGGCGCCTGGATGCTGCTACAAATGTTCGAGCTGAGCTGTATATTAATAAAGTAAACGCAGGATGGCGTACTGACGCTACTAAGCTACAGAGATGGCACTCAGCACCTTCTCTCACCCTTGCCAAACGACCACTTGGCTGCGTTGGACGAGCGTAATCATCGCCCTTTCAAATGATCTCAACGTCAATCACAGTGGTGGCCGACAACAATGACGAATCCTCACCAGCACTTGGTCCAGTCGCTCTCACAACCTTTAGGAGGCGTCCGCCGTCGTCACCATCATCTTATACGCCCCGTAGTGTCGATCAGCTGCATACATCAAATGGTTTCGTTCAGTGTCCAGCGTATCATCTTTAGTCCACTCGTAACAGAGCACGTGCTGCCTTCTTCTTTGACGCGCATACTTGTAAACAGTCCAGGCTATGCCGCCACCACACCCATGACCCTCATTTCTGCTTCGCATTGGTCTTCTGCAATAACTCTGCTTATTGTGCACTACCGTGTTCTCAGATAGACCCGAATAGCCGCGAATGGATCATTCTGACCCATTCACGGTTCTCCAAACTCGTACACATCCGCCCGGCCTTCAGCTGGCTCAACTCGAATACCGCCAGCTTCTGGCGCCGCCGCCTGCTCAATTGCCCTCCTTTTTTCTCCTTTTTCCATCGCCAACCTCTCTTCATCATCAGCTTAGAACGGCAAAGTCTGCAGCTCGCCCACGTCGGCAACAAGAACGGCGTGTGTGCCAGTTTGTCTCTGCTGCTTGTGTCCTCCGTCACACGCGACACCATGCCTTCATTGCACATAAACGCGATGCGCCGTCTTAGACGCGAGCGTTAGCCACGGCTCAAACTCTGTGCTTTCGTCTTGGACTCGTCACCGTTGACTTAACTGCCTGCAAGCACGTCCAAGCGGTCATCGTCGTCAGCGCCCGCGGCGCCGATTAGCCTCTTGTTTTCTACACTCTACGAAGGCATTAGTGTGCGCGGCTACGTCGTGTATATGTATCCGCCATGCGAGTCTTCCAAATGGAACGGAAGACGAGACGACCAAGTGCTGTGCTAGAGGGTTCCAGAGGCTTTAGCCCAAGCTTGTTAAATCAGCCCCACTATACAGCTAACAGAGCCATATTTTCATAAAGCCTGGCACGCGTCGCTTCTGTCGGTTTGCTGTCAAAAATATTCCTGACCATGTCGTATACATAAACACGTCAGCAAAATACTTCAGCCGCGTGTTAAGCATGTGCTTTACAGGTGTAAGGTCCGTATCTGTCCTTAGAAGGAATGCTACCCGTCCAAAGTCATCAGGAGACCATTATGAAGCCAATGAGGCAACAATTTCGATGTATGGGCCGCTGTAACAATGTGCTCTGGGTGCAATGCGGAAGGTACTTAAAAGCCGGACTGCACCCTAACAAGCAAAGCCCTCTAAAACACAAGACAAGGCGAGATACATCACGCAACATCGACTACGCAACGTACCTTCAGATCGCTGATATACTCGTCAGCCTGCGCTTGTCTACTACGAATAGCACAGTACAGCTCATCCGTGAATTCTTGAACGTCAAGATCCGGGTTTGACTACTCATAATTTGTTCCACTACCGCAAATGCAGAAATTCGGTCGTCTTAACCCTTCCGCTCGGCAGATTTATGACCACATCGAGGCCTTTTCTCCATAGGCGTGTAGCACTGGTCTTACGTGCGATGAGATCCTCGTGCAAAGAAGATATTTTAGCCTCACACCGAGCACAATGCTCTTCCATTGCCACGTTACATCGTATCACGGCCTCGAGACGCTTGTCGATCCCTCACTGCGAACCCGCCCCTAGTTTCGCTTCGTTCCTACGCGCTATAGCCCTGCGCTATAGCCCTGCGCTATAGCCCCCGTGAGTACTGAAAAATATGCGTAAGAACTTGTCCACCCGAAGCAACTTCAGTGCGTGGTTTAGATTCCAGTATGTGCTGCCGTCAGCTCCAGACTTTCACAGCTGGGCGAAACTTCTCACCACCAATCGTCCAGTGGACCACAGAGCTCGACCACGAGAATTAAAAACCTGGAAATCAGACTGAGACTGCTCCAACAGACACAGGTGGTAACTCGTATGACTGTCATTAAGGTTGTGCGTCTGCGATGGCACTCGAGCCTTGAGATCGCGCTTTATTTGAGGGGACAAACGTCTTTAAAGTAGGGTGGTAAGCACAGGGCATTGTGATGGAAGAATCAGCAGTGGGTGGTATGTAGAGTGCGTAATAACCACTAGTGTCGATTATGGCAACGTGTCGATGGGTCAGTTCTTTTCTGAAAGGTGAATGAGCTTTTGCCTTGCTGGTGATTTTTTTATGGTTCTGTGAATGATGTTTGAGCACATACCCCTCGATGGCTCACATGCGCGACATGCAATCGTTGCATGTAGATCGGGGTAGTAGAGCTTTGCATTGGACGTCCCTTCGTGTAACGTGGACGATAATAATGGAGAGCTTGGAAATTGAGTAGATAAAACTGGAGATAGACTTGAGCTCTCTCAATGTCATTGATAGATCTACTGTGCGAGGATATGTGGCGCGATATTAGTGCAAAGACTTGTATGGAGCGACATGTGAGCAGAAACGTGTCGAGCTGGATGGAAAAACAGCGTCGTGTGACTAGCTTACATGGAGACGAAGTTTTGTGTCGATACATCGACTGGTTTTAGGGAGTTTGGGGAGCTTATAAAGCAATCAACAAGGCAGATGATCGATTCACGAGATGGTGCCATTGCTTGCAAAGGAGAGAGAGAGACCGTGTGGCTACGATATCAAGATCAAGCGCCACGTGGACCATGTATTCTAGTCGCTGCCCCTCGCCCAGCGGTTACGAAACGAAGGGTGCAGCATGGTAATGCCGGCCATTTTCTGAGTCTTGGCGAAATCCTTCTCCGATCCTCGGCCGTGTTTATAAGTAACCAGCCTCGTCACTTAAATCTACGCCCCGTCAACGATCGTCAGATACTTTTCAAAGGCAAAGATGCCATCTGGTGTGAACTCTGCGCGCCGTGCCAGTATCTCGTCTGCTGACATTGCGAGGGCCTCGTCCACCTCTTCTTTCTGCAGAACCAACTGTCCATCAAACGTGCAGTCAAAGAGGCCACCCCACACTCGGCTGTGGTCGTCTCCATAGTAAAACGTCGTCAAGTACCGCAGCGGCGTGTCCTTGACCCCCATCTCCTCTTCAGCTTCACGTTCTGCACTCACGTCCATAGATTCGCCAAACTGAACCACTCCACCGGTCATCGGATCTAACATGCCCGGACAATAGTCCTTGATCATTGTCCGGCGCTGGACATAGTACTTGCCACTGATCAAGGTACAATAAGACATTTGAGACATTTTCAGATATTTGTGAGAGAATGAAATCAGTTGAGAGGCCAACCTCGCGTTCTTGATGATGATATAGGATGCACGATGTGGGAGGTTGTACGCGCGCTATCATATTGTACGATTATTAGGGAGAGTACGCGTCAGATGAAAATAAATTGATCGACCAACGTACCATTACAGCCCGGTCAGCCTTCCCAATGACTCGATTATTTTCATCCACGATACAAACCTATATGTAGAAGAAGGAGATGTGAGTGGAATTTTGGATAGGAGTGATAGCAGTACCACGTTGTCGTCGACCTGTTCCGATGCGCTCAGTGCCATTGCGTTGGAGGCGTGAATTTGTAATTTGTACGATCAAGGCACCGTAATAAAAAAGACTAAACGTCTATTCTCTTGTGTTAATTTGTATTACGATTTTACATGAAGCTGTAAAAATTCACAAAGAATATTAGCTGATAGTCGAAAAAAAATAAACTGGAAATTAAAACAATGCCTTATTTTATCGAATAAATAAAAATATCCCAGATAATTAAAAGAAAAAAAACGCCGTGATTATTCACAAAATTAAATCGCCCCACGTCCAAATATACTCAAGTAAGAGTGGTATACGTAAACCGCCACGGTGCTTTGACAGAAAAACTAATCCTATTGTTGTAAGTGCATGATGCACTGGATTCGACTCCAGAGATTCGACCCATGATAGGGCATGTCTAGAATGTTCTTTAGGGTTCTATGCATTATTATAGGTCGTACGGCAGCTAGACGTATGGATAGTTCTCACTTGTAGATTGACAAACCACTGATGAGGCCCCCGGCGGGGGGCCGAAACGCGTCTGGTGCGCGGTAGTATACAAGTCATTTACTTTACTTAACTCCTACTTCTTACAGGTTATGAGCCCAAGTGCTCGCTACAGACACCTCACCAAGGACCAACTTGTGCGAGGGACACCCCGTCAGAGAAGGCGCTCGATGCACGAGTAAGGCGCCGAAGAATTCATCGACAGGGATCGTTGACGGTGCGCGTGCAGTCGAAAAGGGTTTGTGCAAGGGTGGTGACGCGAGATGGTCTGAATGCGCGAGTGCTATCGAAGGAAGAGTCAAGTCAAGTGGTGACAAGTGTATTTGTGGTCAAGAAGAAGTGGAAACTACATCCAAGGCGAACGACGACTACGAGATGTCAAGATGTGACATGGTGCTGGACGATGGGGGAGCTGGAATACCTGGAACGCTCGGTATCATCGAGGTTGGCTGGAGCGCAGGGGCAAGACTCAATCAAGATTCCCATGGTGCACGGATGCAGCAGTGAGGATTACAGGCGGGTCGATACCAAAGTGGTCTGCATCTCATGTCGTCGAAGGGGAGTGTTGTAAGTGCATGATGCACTGGATTCGACTCCAGAGATTCGACCCATGATAGGGTATGTCTAGAATGTTCTTTAGGGTTCTATGCATTATTATAGGTCGTACGGCAGCTAGACGTATGGATAGTTCTCACTTGTAGATTGACAAACCACTGATGAGGCCCCCGGCGGGGGGCCGAAACGCGTCTGGTGCGGGAATATACAAGTCATTTACTTTACTTAACTCCTACTTCTTACACCTATAATAATCATTAATCACACACAATAATACTGATACGTCTGGCTTGCTTTACCTCTTGAACTCTCCACGTCCAGCGTGCTGTCCTTGGATTTTTGACTATTAACAGCAGCAACAGATCCCTGAACAGCACTATATTGTCGCCATCAGCAGTGGTTAGGCCTTCGAGTTAGTAAATGAGAGTCAAACAGATGAAAGAGATTCATCATAGTTTTTTAGTGGTTAAATATACAGTAACTATGGCGTACGAGTAGGAAGCGAATTCCTATCCCGCAACTATAACAGCAGAACTGTGGTGCGAACAACAACACCACAAAACAGTAGTAATAACAAGAACACTAACAGCAGTCGCAAGAGCAGCGGTATTGAAAGGAGCAGTAGCGGCTGCACATACAACAGGTACACCAGCACTAACAACCGCCACAACAGCAACGACAGCAGTAATAATTATGACATCGGCAGCAGTAGCAGCAGCAACGACATGAACAACTGACACCGCAGAAAACTATGTAATTGATAATAGCATTAAGAATTTATCATAACAATAACAAAACAATATCAAAATTAATATCACCAGTAAATATCAGAAACGGTTGACTACGTTTACGCCTGCAGCTGATATACAAAGATGCATATACATCTTCCCTATGCTATTCGCGCTGATAAAAGGTGGACGGGAGTGCAGCATGCCCACGGCGGAACCCCCTTTGTGGCTCTTCCTACAGGGCGGGGGTCAAACAGACAGCCATACGTTGCGAATTAAAAAAGACTGAGATTTAAATTTTTGTGTGTATCACTCTAACTTGAGTATATGAGGACGTGGGACATTTTTAGTTTCGTGATTGAATGGGGCATTGTTTTTTTCTCAAATAATCTGGGGCATATTTTCTATTCGTGATTAAATGGGGCTTTTTGATGTCCCAAAAAAATACCATAACGTGCAGGAAATTAATGAAATATACTTTTGATTAAGAAATACACAATTGCCGAATAAACAGCAAATATACAATATGAGCAGCGAGATAAATAAATAAAAAGATACAGTATCATGAAGAATTAAACCGATGTACTGAAACGCATACTATACAAATGGCTTGACAGGGCTTATTATTTCTTACTGTGATGTCTGGATAATGTTGGTCATTCGTGTAATATTATGATGATAAACGTGCACACAAAAGGAAAAATTTCAATTTACCAGGGATTAGGCGGCTCTTAACAGCTTTCGACAGGTGGGCAAGATCCGTGGCACACTTATCGTTTAATCTGCATAAGACCGGAACAAAAGCTGACCAGAGTGAAGATTTTACCGTTAAAATGGGGAGCAAGTTATGGAGGTCGCCTTTGATACAAGCAATGCGGTCCAAGGAACTATAACAAGTTCTGTGTATCCACGCTCCATTTTAATCAGTAGAGGGCTTGAATATGGATTGTGTTTTTGTATGGTTTATAAACAAAGTGCTGGTAGGTCATTTTGTGTCAAATTGTTGTTATTGTCGATGTTCTGAAGCTAGAATGTTAGAAAAAGTAGATAAAGAGTGATCCTGCTCGGAAACGCCGTCAATCACAAATGCGGTCGCTGACAAATCATATTTTCGCTGATAGAAAATTAAAAACCCAGGAGCTCCTACTGCTACCGAGCAATTCGTGACCATTATCAATTACCATTTCAAGTAATTCAGAACAAATAACTTCTCACTTACTGATTGCAGAAACTGTAAGACATTATCCGCCCCGGTGTCAAGTATTGCTTGAAATCTCTCTGTCTGGGCTTCATTATTTTTTAGCTAATCACGTGCGGGCAATGGTGCGCGTGTGAACATTACACACTTCGCAGTAGCAACTCGCGACCTAATCAATGAGTGAAAACTATGAGGACGGACGGGCTACATCTTCCTTATTACGATGTGTAATGTACACCTTGCGTCATTTATGGACGCAAACACATACAGATAAGTGCGATTTAAAGTGTTCGGCATTCACCTTGCGCACAGTCTGTAATAGCTCCACGCTTCTGGCTAGCAATCATCTGTTTGCAAGAAGCACGTAGGCCTTTTCACATTAACTCGTTTCTGGATATATTCTTGTCCTTGCAATCCTGTGGCGAATGACTCAAAAACACAGCAACGTACAAATGCTTCTGAGTGTACGACGAATGGATCATTTTTCGAAAAGCCTCTAGTATCGAGCGCTGGTCCACCAAAAAGCCATACAACTTTGAGCCAGTAATGGTGTGCAGCTTATCAAATAAATCATGTTCGACTAATGTGCAAACGTGCTGTTTCCTATCCACAATATAGTCCGGATCAATGAGCAGTCGCGCATCATCACTCAGCCATATTACGATACCAAAAACATGTGAGCATAAAAATACGATAAACCTTCATTCGCAGCCCAAAATCGGTGTCGGGACTCGAATCGACTTGTACTTGATACCAGAGGGCTGGGGTAGTATACCATCCCCAAAAAATGCAGCGCTTTAGACATAATTAGGTACCAGGATACGAAAGAGAGCTATGAAGGCATCGTCCAAGTACTGATGTAAAGCGTTGGCATCCAACATGCTCGATGTCAGTCGATGTCTATGTCAATGTTCACTTTAATGTCTCGCGTCGTAGAGTTTGGTCTCGAGGCGAATGCTGCCGATAGGCGCCTTGCCTGGCAAAATCGATAAATGTATTTTTGTTTACTCATTTATCGTTCGACAGAACACGAATGTTTCATAAAGAATTGATAGTCACAAGCGCTACTGAATTTTTTCATGCCATACGCAAATTTTTCGCTTTGGTTTACTTTTTATTCTCCAAGCTCATGGTTTTTAGCATGTTTTCTAAAGTTTGACTTTTCACGTCTTCATTCAACGTTGATTTTTTTAATCCCGTCTTATTTAGCAAATTATGTATCTCCCCTATGAATAAGTAGATTAGGATGGAGGATGGATAGGATAAACTTTATAGTCCTTTGATGAAGCTACCGGCCAACACAACCACAATTACATAACTACGTATTCTATCTGAAAAAATTGAGCGCAAGTTCATTACTCATCCAAATACCCATGGACGCGGCTTGGCAGTGCCTACTACCCGAACATGTACCCATATATACATGGGTAGATAGTGTGTACGGGTACTTGTGGAGATCTGTGAATAGTTTCCTCTACCTTATAACTCAAATACACAACTCAAAGAGACAAGCCTTTTCGTAGTACAAGATGTTTGAACTTGTGGCAGGCATTGATAATAATCGCGAGGCAGCATGTGACGTAATACAGTATTTGCTGGACGAAAACGTCGTATATGCGCAATTTCTTTGAGTTACTCAAAGTGTGCGCAAAATTTTCAAACAAAAGCCCTATTATCTTTCTGCTTCACGCAAAGTTCATGATGTGATGTTCTACATGTTGTAGCATGTTTACAAAGTAGTTATATGACAGTATTCCACATTTGCAGTACAGCGTCCGTGATTCAATATTTCAACTGTCCTTGTCTTTTCCATCTTGTTCACGAGTCCTATTCCTACCGACAAACGTATCCATGCCATGTAGACCACCACCTAAACGAACTACCACGTCATATAAAGGTACAGGCAAAAGTCGTGAAATAGCGGGAGCCCACGACAGAGCTATCCCTCTCCAACCCGAAGCACATGATACGACCAAATTGTCGCCCCGTCGCATAGCACGATAAATCGTGTCAGCCACCGTGGACTCTGCAAGCATTGGAA